GAAGCATGCTGATTTTCCACGTCACTAGGTAATATGTGAACACAGCGGTCATTAGCTGGTACCCTAGACCAATAACGATCATTAGCAATTGTTTCTAGGGTTGCATACCACTCACGGTATGATAGGCACAGCTCAGCACGTTCATAATTTGTTAGCAGCAGCTAATCAGAACGAGCAACCAGGTTTTGCAAGTGGCGTGCTGCACGTTGGTTTCTTGTTCTGGCAGCAGCAAAGCTACTGCTCAGCCAACGTGGGAACAAGGTCCACCGGAGTTCATCTAGTTCTGGGAGCACCTTAGGATTCACATTGACTCCAAATTGGTTGTTGAGGAAGTCAGCCCTTACTTGAGCATGAGAAAATTGGGCTAAAAGAGAATGAATGGCCACAACCTCAGTTAGTGCAGAGTTTTCCAATGAGGAGATATCAGAGTCATCACTGCCTGCTGGCAAGTCTGCGCAGGATTGATTCACTCCTCTTTGATCATCAGTGGGCCTCATCTCCTGAGAATTTGTTGCTAAAGGTCCCGCCACTGCCAGGCTTCTCGACCCAACCAAGACCGTCTTGCTGTCCTGTCCATGCTCCATGTGATGAGAGTTATGGGAAGTTTTTGTGCGTGTAAATGAATAGCTGATGAAAAAGTTAGTAAGGGAATGAGATGAATGAAATTTGAAACTATCCCGTCGGAGATGCCAAATGTTGCCGGGTCTAAAATGTCTCGCGCCGCAGATGAGATAAACCTGTTATCTGCTTCTAACTAACTGGCAACAACCCTACTCTGAATGAAGGAAAATGAAAGACTGGTTCTAATGCAAAATGAATTAAAATATGGGACAGTAAATAAACACACAACTTAATAAAATTGCAAATGAAATGGTTGTTTTAATTTGAAATGTGTAATGAAAATGTGCTGGTGAATTGGATGTAAGGATTGAATTAATTTAGAATGTGTAATGAAAATGCACTGGTTAATTGAATGAAAGGAGGATGGACAGGTGAAGATGAGCAGATGTAACTGCAAACAGAAAGAACAGAATAAAAATGCAAATCATGAATGACTGATAACCTGATGGGAGGTAGAATGTAAACAAAGCAAGAACCATTAAACTCCATAAAACTAGTAAAAGCTCATCTCCATATTGTGAATTTATTTTTAAAACTAATGAGTACTACTCGCACGAGGATTGAATTAAAAGGAATCACAAGTGGACAGATAAATACAGGAACACTGCAAGATGAACATAACTGCAATTGAGAACATAAGCTTACTAGAATTAACTATAACTATAATCCAATATAATAAATTGACTTCCTCTAACTAAACCATATCAGTCAGAGATGAACACAACCAAAGTAAAATGCAAGGGAACACAAGAAGTTAATATCAATGAAATTAGCAAAATACAAAGACAAAACTTAACCTAAATTATCAATGAATAAATTATATAAATTTCTATGTCACTCACCAGTGCAACTGAGTGCCCAGGCTGAGATACTGAGTAGGAATCCAAATACTAAGAGTGATAATTGAAGTTTGCAAATTATACTTTGGTCATCTACACTGAAAAAGATAAAAATATTGAGTTTAATTTAAATTGAGTTGGATTGAGAACTGAAGATATATGATAATTAGTAAAGAGAGACATGAAGGTTGGGCTACACAGTAGCCTAATTTAACCTCCGGTAACAACGGTACCTTTGTTTCTTTAAAAACATCAGTTCTTGAATAAGTTTTTAGTAAGAAGCATCACATAATATTAGAGTAGCTGCTGCATAATATAAAGTAGCTGCTCAGTCTGCATCCAGACTGGAATAATGGGCAGTAGCCACCCGGAGAGGAGCATATAATTTTCATATAATTAATACATACAAAAAATTTACATTTTATGTGATAAAAATGATACGGTTAACAAAATTAATGCATAACGACTAACGGTTATTTAAATTATTATCATGTTAATTACAAATGGCGCACAGAGCTGGGATCGAACCTGCACTTCTCTGGCCAAGTCCAGGTACTCAGAACTGTAGCCTCTGGGGGACTGTTCATTATTCTCATTTATCTCTCATGAGATTGACAATTTTTGCTATTCAAATAATAATCTATAAAAGTCATGGTCTATAACACTTATGCAGTAATTCATACGTGAGTGAAAATCAATGGATATAATTTGGCCCTTCTTTTAGAGTATCATAGTAACATCAGTCAGACAATAACGTGTTGGCCTTCCGTGAAGTTATTCATATAGATTTGTCAATACCAAGCCTGCGCTCAGCTGATCATTGATAATAATAATGATTCCTAATACCATAGAATGCTGTGCAATATTCCTGAAACTCCATAAATTAATTCATTCATCCTCTTCATCGTGATTGAAACTATTTCAAAGCTCACACAATGAGCTGTAACCGAGTTATACCCCCAGTCAAACCGGTCTTGTTCGATTGATGAAGATTAGGGCGCATTCTACCATCACTTAATAAATCAGGTAACGATGCGCAACATTCATAATAACGGAACAATATAACTAAGACTATTGTAAAGCTATTCCCTTCAACCTTCCCCAAATTTTATGGTTGCATGGTTACATACTTTTGGTTAATAAGTTTAGTGCCGGCCATATTAACACATTACATAGCATTAACATTTAACCTTAAAACTTGCAGAGGGCTTATCGAAATATTCATTATACAAGCTGTGCGAGTGGATGCTAAGCAAATAATTGTGCAAGTAAATGCTAAGCAATTACATAGAGTGTTCACGATTTGACAACTAAGATTAACATTCATATGAAAAGCATGAGTACCAATTATAATGACGAAACTCATCAAGGGTGAAGAAAAAATGTTTTGTTTGGAATTGCATATCATAAGTAAGGAAATAAAATAACAATATTTTGTTTGGTATTCATTGTTAACAAATGGGGTAATAAAATAACTTTATTTAATTTGGCATGCGTTTTAACATGCTTCCTGTGATGTGACCCACCGGTGGGTCCCCACTGTGTTACGTGTACGGCGACGGCCAATATCGATGCTATTCTCCTGTTGCGACGGTGGTATATGTACGATAACTTCAGTTGCATCTGAGATAGCACGGAGTGATGTTGTCAGAATTTTGTTCTCATATGTTACAGCTTGATTAGGTAAGAAAAACAGTGACCCACGGGTGAGTCCCATCGCATCTGAAGATAATGTTTTTGTTGTAATGTGATGGGACCAACCGGTGGGTCCCATGTCAAAAAATTGTATATTTTGAATTCACGATGCATAAGTTGTTTGTTCAATGTTTTAATTAACTGATATTTTTTGTAGGTGTGATCATGAATGTTTCTGCTTTCTGATGACACTTTGGTAGACACAGGTAAAACCACATGGGCTGGTTTACCTATCAAAAAGCCTCAAAGTGTGTTAGACTACAATGCTTGCAAAAAAAAAGGTTGACGTATCAGACCAAATGTCCTCCTATTATTCTCCTCTAAAGAAGTCGAGGAAATGGTACAAAAAAGTTGCCTGAGAATTCCTTGAATGAGAGCATTCAAGGAATCCATTGTACTGTACTATACTTGTGGCGTTATGGAGGAGAAAATAAAGCCTGGAAAATCTTCCCTGAAAATTTCTGAAACATCTGGACATCATCTTCAGGAAGCTGAAGGGCCCAAAAGGAAAACAAGAAAAAGGTGCCGCGGCTGCTATGAAATGTCACTCCTCTTTGATCATCAGTGGGCCTCATCTCCTGAGAATTTGTTGCTGAAGGTCCCGCCACTGCCAGGCTTCCCGACCCAACCGGGACCGTCTTGCTGTCCTGTCCATGCTCCATGTGATGAGAGTTATGGGAAGTTTTTGTGCGTGTAAATGAATAGCTGATGAAAAAGTTAGTAGTAAGGGAATGAAATGAATGAAATTTGAAACTATCCCGTCGGAGATGCCAAATGTTGCCGGGTCTAAAATGTCTCGCGCCGCAGGTGAGATAAACCTGTTGTCTGCTTCTAACTAACTGGCAACAACCCTACTCTGAATGAAGGAAAATGAAAGACTGGTTCTAATGCAAATTGAATTAAAATATGGGACAGTAAATAAACACACAACTTAATAAAATTGCAAATGAAATGGTTGTTTTAATTTGAAATGTGTAATGAAAATATGCTAGTGAATTGGATGTAAGGATTGAATTAATTTAGAATGTGTAATGAAAATGCGCTGGTTAATTGAATGAAAGGAGCATGGACAGGTGGAGATGAGCAGATGTAACTGCAAACAAAAAGAACAAAATAAAAATGCAAATCATGAATGACTGATAACCTGATGGGATGTAGAATGTAAACAAAGCAAGAACCATTAAACTCCATAAAACTAGTAAAAGCTCATCTCCATATTGTGAATTTATTTTTAAAACTAATGAGTACTCACACACGGATTGAATTGAAAGGAATCACAAGTGGATAGATAAATAAAGGAACACTGCAAGATGAATTGTGAACGTAACTTACTGGAATTAATTATAACCATAATGCAATATAATAAATTAACTTCTTCAAACTAAACCATATCAGTCAGAGATGAATACAAACAAAGAAAAAGCAAGGACAAAACTTAACCAAAATTATCAATGAATAAATGATATAAATTTCTATACCACTCACCAGTGCAACCGAGTGCCCAGGCTGAGTGAGATACTGAGTAGGAATCCAAATACTTAAGAGTGATACTTTACTTCAAGTCTGCAAATTATACTTTGGTCATCTATACTGAAAAAGATAAAAAAATATGTAATTTAAATTGAGTTGGATTGAAAACTAAAGAAATATGATAATTAGTAAAAAAGAGACATGAAGGTTGGGCTACACAGTAGCCTAATTTAACCTCCGGTAACAACATCACATATGCACTAACATCACATGTGCACTAACATCACATGTGCACTAACATCACATTTACCTAACTGAATGCACAACAAAGACTAAATGCACCATCATCACGACACATTGCCACGTACCATCGTGATGCATAATCTCGACATGCAATTAATGGTAGTTGTATGTCTTAATTATCACGCGCCTTCACCACACACCATCATCTCCCATCATCATAATCATCACACCCCACCATCATCACACCCCACCATCATCACCCTCCACCATCATCACACCCCACCATCATCACACCCCACCACCATCACACCCCACCATCATCACACCCCACCACCATCACACCCCACCATCATCACACCCCACCATCATCACACCCCACCATCATCACACCCCACCATCATCACACCTCACCATCATCACACCATCTTCACACCCCACCACCATCACACCCCACCATCATCACACCCCACCACCATCACACCCCACCTCCATCACACTTCACTGTCCAGGACGACGTTGGCGCGGTGGCGGGCGGCGCAGGAGGGCGGCTCTGCTACGCCCCAGGCGCGGCGCCCGTACCTGGCGTCTGACTGCTCTGATCTGCGCCAGGCCGACCGCTGGCGGAACCAAGTCATCTCTGAAGTCGCCAGAAAAGTTGCCCAAATCCAAAATGGTGCGTCTCATAACTTCAATAATTAGTTTGTGTGATGAATATATTCCCTTTATCTTATCCTTATGCATGTTTTTAAAGTAGTATGTTATTTCTTTTTAAGCTGTTGCGTTCTTGTTGAATAAAACTCTTTATGAATGTCGCATGAATGCCTCTAGGGGACATTCATGCTGTTGATTTTGTAGTCCAATTCACTGGATCTATGAATTATGTTGAACGAATGAACCATTACATTGGTGTTTCCTACTTTTGAATTCATTCACACCAATGAATTTCATGAATGAATCCAATAAATTGTGGTGAATATTGTTGTGTGAATCACTTACACTTATTCTTAGAGTTGATTTTTGTTGAGATGTTCATGAGAATAATATACCATGGTTTCATCATTGTCTAATTTTGTAAGAATACATCTAATTGCTTATGCATGTAGGAGAATTTTGCTGCCCATTTGAAGAATATTATTCATAATTAAATACTTAGTTTTCCAAAATGTTTGTAGAAGGTTCAAAGATTTTGACAAATAATTTTTCTTCGCAGCTGGCTTGGGTGAATTTCGCATACGTGACCTCAATGACGAGATAAACAAACTCCTGAGGGAGAAGGGCCACTGGGAGGCCCGCATCAGAGAGCTGGGCGGCCCAGACTACAGCATATCTGGGCCCAAACTGTTCGGTGCCGATGGTCAGGAAATACCAGGCAACAGGTATACCCTAATTGTGATACCAGGCAACAGGTATACCCTAATTGTGGTACCAGGCAACAGGTATACCCTAATTGTGGTCATTTTATCAGTGCAGTAGTTGCAATTATTGGATAATGAGGAAGCGTCATGATAATACAATTTAGAATTTTTTAAACTATACCATTATAAATTTAACTTTACCTCGCTACACAAAGGAATTATGAACTCATTGCTATTTTTAATGATACGGACTTTAAAGGTGACATGTACTTAAATATTAACGCTGTGTGCCCGGCAGAGGTTACATGTACTTAAATATTAACGCTGTGTGCCCGGCAGAGGTTACATGTACTTAAATATTAACGCTGTGTGCCCGGCAGAGGTTACATGTACTTAAATATTAACGCTGTGTGCCCGGCAGAGGTTACATGTACTTAAATATTAACGCTGTGTGCCCGGCAGAGGTTACATGTACTTAAATATTAACGCTGTGTGCCCGGCAGAGGTTACATGTACTTAAATATTAACGCTGTGTGCCCGGCAGAGGTTACATGTTATTAACGCTGTGTGTCCGGCAGAGGTTACATGTACTTAAATAATAACACTGTGTACCCCGGCAGAGGTTACATGTACTTCGGAGCGGCCAAGGAGCTGCCGGGCGTACGGGAACTGTTCGAACAAGAACCTGCGGCGCCTCCACGACGCACGCGCGCGGACCTCATGAAGCACATCGACGCGGACTACTACGGCTACAGGGACGACGACGACGGCGTACTCGCGCCCCTGGAGCAGCAGGTGCAGCAGCGAGGTCTGCACCTGGGGGCGTGGGGTGTAGTCTTGTCACACAGAACAATCAATGCGGTGTATTGTATTGTCATAATAAGACACTTTTTTAGCCATAGCACGAGCAGAGAGGCGATACGCCTCAGAAAAATGAATACGGTGTATTGTCCAAAAAAAGGACACGCTTTCTCACCCACAGCTCGAGCAACAAGTACATACGCCTCAAAAAAAATAATAAATGTGGTGTATTGTCCTAATAGGACACACTTTTTTAACCATAGCACGAGCAACGAGTAGATACACCTCAGAAAAAATTAATACGCTGTATTGTCCAAAAAATATAACTTAGTACTCACTGCAGTGAGTGACAGAGAGCGCATTTTCTCGTCACCGAAAACGTGAAGTCACGGACAGACAGACAGACGGACGGGCGGACGGACATGACGAGCACAATAGCGCCTTTTTTCCATAAATGAGAAAACGCGCTAAAAAGGACACAGTTTCTTAGCCATAGCACGAGCAGAGAGTAGACGTAATGCTGGTATACGCACTTTCGTTGGCATAACTGGGGGTCTAGGTCACACCCTGACGAGGGCAATAACTGCATCGCTACTTGGACAAAGTCTCACTCATTCTTCTGAGCGTGCGTGTGTGATGGGGAGCCTCACCACAACCCCTTTTGTGGGTGTGATGAGGGGTTGTGGTGAGCGAGGCTGCTTTGTTTATGGTTATGGTGAATATTGTGGTAAGTGAGGTCGGTAGTTTTGTGGTTGTGATGTCCAAGTTTGTTGGTCTTGTGTTCTTTACATATGAAGTTTTTGTTGTAATGATGAATGAACATTGGGTTTTTGAAGTGGTAGTGCTCCTTTATTATTAAGTCAGCTCTGTCTTAATTATAGTAATGTATATTATAATAGCAATGTATTATATAGGTAATAGTATAATATAATATAATTATATTATCTTCTTCTTTGTTCTATTACTAACTTTCATTTTCTAAAATCTTTTATTCTATACTTTGTTGTCTCTCCAGTCCCCAAAACACATTGGCTAATTTATAAAGGTGTTCCTAGTAATGAAGAATAGTTCTGTCGGAATTGTTGAAATGGTAGGTAGTGAGATGAAATTTATGTCGATAATCTTTATATTGATAAAAATAATTCGAAAATGGTAATTGCCAACTACAGGAAAGAATAAATGAGGATTATTTTGTGTTACATATCCTTAAATTTACAAATGCGTTCTTAGTAATGAAGAATATTTCTATCGATACATTAAGATAGTAGTGATGACGATTAAATTGATGTCGATAATCTTTTTATATTTAAAAACAAATGTTGAAAGATAATTGCGAAGTACCAATAGGGAAAAGATCTTGATTTTGTGTTTTTGAACATAAATTTTAAAAGATAATTGCAAAGTGAAAGTAGGGAAAATGGGTGGGAAAATACAAGTGGGAAAAATGATGTTGATTTTGTGTTCTTAGCCGTGAAGCAACTCGTCCTGAACTATCGACGGAAGCGATTCCGTGAGGCAAACAAGGCGGGCAAGGAATTGGACGAGAACGGAGATGAAAACAAACGAGTGGAGGATGAGGAAACAGAAGAGAAAGAAGAAGATGACGAAGAAATCGAATATGATGATGAAGTTCAAGAAGGCGACCTGACTGAAAAGTTTGCGGAGGTAAAATCATTTAATTTTTACTGCTTCTGAGAGACGCATGTTAACTAAACATAGTTTCTGCTTTTTTTACCGTTAATAAAAATATAAATTTCTGCGGTAATCTCGATTTTTAGGTATTCTGAAAATTTGAATGATTATTTGGATTTTTCTTTTTCGACGGATAAATTCAATCAACATTAGCGGTAATTGAAATTAATTACAAATAGTTATAAAATTAAATCACTCTAAACTTAAATTAATAATAATAATTACATTAATTTAATCCCAAATCAAATTAAATATAAATAATTATAAAAAATAAAATAGTTATAAATAATCATAAGCCTAGAAAATCGAAGCTTTCCTCCCGCACTTCTTTGACGAGCGCTTGAGGCCGGAATTCGTTACAGGTCATAGTTCAGAATAGCAATTTTATTCAAATGCAGGTCGTTTATTTTTGCATTCTCCCTGACTGGTCTTAGTTTTTGTATTTTTCGTATTAAAACGGACGGTATTTAAATATTTTATTTATTATTGATACTGAACCATTTACGTGAAAATTACATTTTTATAATCGCCAGGAGCTTAGTTTGGTATTGACATATTTTATATTGAATTGCAATCCACTAAATGATATTCATGTTGCATGCTTATAAAAATGCTTAGGAATATCAGATTATTATAAATTTAGCATTTTGGAACCAGGTTTCGGTGAATGTTCGCAATATATTGATTCGGTTGGAAGCTAATCAATGCTACAGACCTCCAGGTCACATTTTCGTTTCTTTCCTTCAGGATGTTTACTAATACGATCAGAAGCTAATAAATATTACAGATCTCCAGTTTAAATTTTAATTATTTTTCCCTCAGGACGACGAGCGCGCCGCGGTGCTCCGCTACATGGCGCACGTGCCCAACATTCCAAGCCAGCAAGAGATGGAAGACGCGCTACTGGAGCGCAAGAAGAAAGATATCCTGCACAGACTTCTTGGGGACTCCTTATGAGGACTTATTGTGCTAATAGATCAAGGACCTTAGCATTTATAAAGAAAGATATCTTGCACAGACTTCTTGGGGACTCCTTATGAGGGCGATATTCGGGGCGGGTATTGCGCTAATTAGCAGATATATGATTAAATATCTATTGACCGATCAAGATGAATGCTCGTGAAGATTGTTCTGCTATCGTTGCACCGGCCGTTAAAGTTTCAATTAACATTTAAACTAAAACTGGTATTGGTTGTGTTGTTAAATGCCTCGAGTATCTAACGCCGAATTCTTAGAAGACGTAGCTGACGCAATGAAGTATCATAGGTTACGCTTTGATATTTGGATTTTAATCCTGTTTTTGTTTACGTTAGTCAATAGCCATCTTAAGGCTTTAATTACATGCCACAAATACAGCCTGAATTTTGAATTCGGACCTTCCCTTAAGTTTGTAATTGAATTGCGAATGAATTCGCATTATGATCTCGTATAAAGGGTATAAATAATTATCAAGGGTTTTAGAAAGGATAGAGATATGAACTCGAGTTTTTTTATTTATATTAAGAAAGTAAGGCTCAGAAATCGCAGCAGGGGTAATTTCTTAACAGATAGGAAATAACGAGTAAATATTTCTTTTTACTGGTAGGATCTATGAACTGATAGGATAGGATTGAACGATATTCCTCAAAGTAGAATTTTATAAAGTCAACAATTGTCATGAAAATATCAGTTTAGTATCAATTACAAGGCACCCAACAACGCACAGTAGGGATAGTAACGCTGTAATACATTAGAATAATTTGATTGCACCTGAATACTTATATATACAGGACGTTTTTGTGTAATGCACATTTATGGCATCGATGTACTAGGTACCTTTAATGCTAATCCTTTCGATTTTTAACTCGGTTAAAAGAAGGTTGTTTCAAACGAGTTGGGTTTATTCGCTCGCTCTTAGTTCATTTCACAATATTAATAATGCAAAAAATGTAGAAGAGCTTTAGAAAATTGTAGAAGAGCTTTAGAAATTACGAAAAATCAATATCACTGGCGATTCTTCCAATATTTACGAAATATCTTATAGCGTTTATTACTCTCCACTTTTGATCCTCAATTACTTGCAATAAACCCCAATGATGCAATATTTGCCCAGGAGTCTTTAAAAGTAAGCGGATGCACTTGACAAACTTTGTCTTGGGTGAGTGAGGCAAGTGCGAGTTAAGAGTAAGCTCCATAAATACACTAAGCACAAGTACCATAGAAGAGACTTGTTAATAATCACGTTTTAAGATTAATTGAGGAAGGCATGTACCAGGTCCCACAACAAAGTCAAGAGAGACATAATATTCCCACATAAATGTCACAAAAACAACATAGAAGCCTCGCAAAGCAAAGAAGGCAGGCTTTTAAAATTCCCGTATTAGACAACAATAAACTTTGAATGTGTTAACTTCTTAGGCTTAAAAAAACACTCGTTAGCTAACACAACAGCAACAACATATTACACTATCTGGAAGCACTCACAACTGTTGAATTCCTGGCTCCATGTCATGAAAAAGTTACGCGTTCGTAAATCTGCGTCAATTAATTTGTTGTAACTCCGTCGTCTTTTTCCAGGTAAACCCACCAATTACAGACGAGATATCGGCCGCTACGTGTACTTGAGCGAGTTTTGACAGTACGGCTCTACTCGAATTAACATAAGTGCTCTCAAGACCTGGTAAATGTCTCGCTGCCACTAGCCCTTGATACATAAACTATCTCAGACTGGCCATTAGAAATGTCTGACTGTACCACTTGAGTATTCCCTTCCACTGTCAATTGTTGATGATTTTGTTGGCAATTTGGGTAGGCATCTTTAACTAATGACCCTACGTACAGGGTTGTTGTATTGCTGGTAGTAGAGCCTAGAACGTTAGAGGGCTGGACAGATGAAGCAATAGCATGATATGGCCCGGTGCCAGTAGGACCGCTCTCAGGCATGCATCGGGAGACGTCCATGTTGTGATCATCAACTTTGCCACAAGATTCGTCGCTTACGACGATTGTGGGAATTGATAGGAAATTATGCGGCCTTCCAGCGAGTGGAACATTAGTTTCTGAAGTTCCCGCCGCGTGCGCAGTGGACACTAAGACGTTGGAGCCATGAAATTTTTCTCTTGCATCATCCCCGGACTGAATAGAGTACGGTACAGTTTCCGTGCCCTCGTTGGGAGCCTCTTGAGAGGCAGGTCCTACAGACTGGATTTTAGAGCTCGATTCTTCGATCTCTGCGATGTCCTCGAGGATTGCGGCCGTTGTAGGAGCTTCGTCGCTGCAGTTGAGAGGCAAAGCGAGGTGCTGCGTGAGCGTAGTGTGCTGAATGTGCTGAGCTGATAGCACAGGGCCATGGATGTACGAACCTTGACCTGACAACGACGGCAGTAGCAGGCGCGGCTGACTGCTGTCCAGCACGAGCGCGGGGCCATTTCCAACCTGAGAAAATTTGCTCGTTAAACCCTAGTTCGATGACATTTTATAAAACATCAAATAAAATTAGATACTGTTCATTAACAATTCCAGGCGGATAAGTACAAAAGGTGGGTTTCAAATTAATTATAAAAAATAAAAAGTACGATAACAGATAATGTTTACCACCTATCTAGAATGAAATTTATGTGACGCCTTATTTATGAACGATTATAAGCATTCAGTGGATTTATTCGTGAGAATTTATTATCATTGTAGTCTTAAATTTACGAACGGATGATGGAATTTATGGAATGTTTGCATTTAAAATGTTATAAATGAAAACAATTTGAATTGTGGCTTAAGCAATTATCTACATGATTATTGATTTGAAATATAAGCAAAGAAATGATCACACCTAATCAGATATCTAAATATAACGTATGTACTAGAGTAAATCACATTGTTATCAACTCCTTGATCCACATGGGAGTTCGAATCAACCCAAGTACTCATCAAGTTACCGATAGATTAGATGAAGTAAAACCAGGTACTCCAGTTACAGTTGCACGTTCATTGAGCTCAGAAGTGGACCCAGGCAACGACAAAATTCGGCTCGACGATGTCAGAGATGACTGGACGAACTGCAGTGAAGCTGCCAGCGACGTTAACGTAAAATGCTCTTTGTTAGCGGCTGCTGGTCGGCTAGAACTGAGACGAGGCGTCATTTTCAGAGGGGCAGGAGCGATAGCCAGAGGTTGAGGCTGCGCAGGTTCAGCAGAGCTTTGGATGTGGTGATAAGGACTTACGATGGGAACAGCATTGGTTATGGTGGTGGGCACAGTCATGAACGTTGGTAACGAGGAACAATAAAGCGGGGCCTGAGAGAAATTAGGAAACGTCACGACTGCGTGTGCTTGAGTCATAGGTCCAGGTTGGTGGATGGAGAGGAAAGTTGGTGGTTGTTGATTGATGACTCCAGGCACCAGCGAAGTGTGCACGGCCGGAACTGGAATAAACTTGGTTGTGGAAGAAAGTGACGGTGCAGAAACAACGCTTCCGTTGATGGGAATGGAGCTAGTCATGGGAATAGGAAGAGTAAGCACACTTTGTCTCGTCAGGCAGTTCGTTGTTCTCAAATCCGCGGGGACCGCTTGAGATGTCTCAGGGATGTGCGACGTAGCACTCGTAAGATCTGCCTTGCCCTCGGTACTCGCAGGCAGTCCCGCGGCTACCACAGAGAGAACTTGAGGCACATTATTAGCCACTAAAGCTGAAGGAGGCTGTAGCTGCTGCGGCTTCTGATGCAGCGAAGGTAAGGACAACGAACGACTACGTGGCTTCTGCTGATCTTCTGAGTCTGCAGTTAGCACTCTGCATGGTCATGATAAAAATATTTCATGTTTACTGGAGTAAAACTATATCATCTCATCTACTTCTTACTGAAGTAACTTTAAAGGGTAACATAAAGAATTAAATTTATGAGTTGTTTAATCGGATAAGCATTGCAAAAGATATCAAGTACGGGAGAATGAACGTTAAATAAAAAGAGAATAGTTTGAGATTCCAAATACAAAGCTTTTTATATATAATTTGGTGGCACAGAATAAATAACGATAAATACCGATGTATTTCGATTCAAATGTTAAAATCTCACAAGCGGACATCTTTTTTAATAGGTAAAATGAACTTTCACTGATTAGGCCATGATTGTGATGAAATATCGCACTATCCTGTGGGTTCGGATATTCTATGCGTAAAACCGGGAAAAATACATGTAATAGATTGATGATCGAAGACACATGAATTTTTCGCAAGATAAACTCACCCATTGTGAGGCATTGGAGCGCCTTCAGGGGCTGCTGGGGCGGCATCAGTGTAAGCGCCTGAAATATTGTCATGATAAATATATTTTTATGTTCAATGTTCACATGAATATTGAACATATGCAAGATAAAATTTAGATAAATAAGAAAATATAACTCAGTACTCGCTGCAGTGAGTGACAAAGAGCGCATTTTCTCGTCGGCAAAAAACATGGAGTCACGGACGGACGGACAGACGGACATGGAGAGCACAATAGTGCATTTTTTCATAAGTGAGAAAATGCGCTAAAAATAGCTGCTCATTAAAAAAACTCATAGTAATGGCATGTACATCAAAACCAGCAACAACGTAATCCGGTTTTTGGTGTTTATTATTAAAAGGACATATGGTCCAGAGTTTGTTTAAGCATCTTCGTTCAATTCAACAACAATTTCTACCGTAGTAATACAGAATCTATTACATACACAAGTACATGCTATATGCCGTCCGTAAAAACCTGCTTAAAACGTACGTAAGCCTCTGCTTCACGCAATTGTTAGACATTAGCTAACTAAAGTTAATTTTAATGGCGCACTACTCTCGTTTGCTTCGATGAATTTCCATGCATAATAAGTTAATTTTAATGGCGCACTATCCCCGTCGTTTGCTTCGATAAATTTCCATTCATCGAAATTCCATTTCCATTGATACCTGCTAGCGCGGCCAAGGTGACAGGGCACGTTTTGTGCTGCAGGAGAAGCCCTTTGAGCGTGGCGACATCGGCTCGCAGGGACGCTACCTCTGCCTGCAGGCGCGTGTTGACGGTGGCGAGCTCAGTGCTCTTGCTCGCCAGCTTCTTGACCCACTCTTTCTTCTTCTCACGACACCTCACAGCTGCCGCCCTGCACATTGACATGACATTGTCATGCAAGTCTTTCATATCAAAGTTGTAATTTATTTTACAAATTTTTTAAAAGGAATTTGTTTTACAAATTTTTTAAAAGGAATTTGTTTTACAAAATTTTTAAAATGAATTTATTTTACAAATTTTTAAAGTACAGAAGAAAGGTAGGGTAAGGTAAGGTTTCTTCTGCACCTTAAGGTAAGGTGCAGAAGAAAGTCTACTTTCCTGTGAAATTTGTACATAATTTTATACATTAAGTTTTAAACGAAAGGTGCAGAAGGAAGTCTACTTTCCAGTGAAATTTGTATTTAATTTTATCGTCAATATTTAAATGTAAGGTGCAGAAGCAAGTCTACTTTCCTGTGAAATTTTTACTACTTAATTTTTGGATTATAACATTTAATCAACGTGAAACACGGTTGTTTTCTTAATCAACGTTTATTCTTTCAAGCAAGGTTGTTCGAAAGCCAGTGTAAACACACCGCAAAACTACGTACCTATAACTTTAAAATTGATTAATTATGAAAATTACCCTAGTAGGTCTAGTAAATCCGAGTTATCATTCATAAAACCTCACACAGATGTTCCCCGTACCGATTTCTCTCAAGAAACTTCATCCTTTTCTCCTCATCATCATCTTCGCCTGGCGCAACTATTCGCTTTTTGCCTCTTTGTCCATTGCTATTTTTGTCCAGTGAGCCGTTGCTGTGCAGTGAGTCACTCACAGAAGATGTTGTCAAAACACTGCAGGGGTAACTAGCAAGAGGCTCCTGTGAGACAGGCTGGGTAAACTCAGCTGTACATTGATAACTAACTTGTTGTGGGGACGAAGAAGCGTTAGACAAATTCACATGATTGCTGGAAGATTGGTGAGTTACATGATCGTTGGAAATGGAAGACTGGAGTAATCCTGAACTTTTAAAAATCTGCGGACAATTTGAGGACTGGTGATGATTGTTGGAGGATTGAGAATGATTGTTGGAGAGTTGAGGATGATTGTTGGAGGGTTGAGGATGATTGTTGGAAGCTTGAGGATGATTGTTGGAGGGTTGAATGGAAGGATTATTAAGATTGGATTGTCTAGAAGTAGGCCGAGTGAGGCTGGCGATCCTGTGAGCAGTTAGAGCACGTGAAGGAGGCGGCCGAGAGGACGGTCGAGCAGCGGTCTGGCTCGCGGTCAGGGCAGCCTTCAGACGCTGTCGAAAATTTAGTTATTAATATTAGAGTCTAAAGTACTGGATGTCCAGTAAGAAATAAAAAAAAAATAAAACGTTTTCTTCACAGATGCTAAATAAACACAAGAAAGATTGGAACGAAGTTAATAGCATAATACGGTTGTATAAAATCGTAATTAAACATCTTTAACGACAAAATGAGTGAATTTCCCGTTTCAGCAAAAAAAAATAATGAAAAAACTACCAATGATTTGTCACAACAAACGCTAAACAAACAAACTAAACTATTTGCAAGGCTAGGGAGAGCAACCTTCGAATCGAAAACAATTCGGCAACCTTTCAGTGCTCTGACATTAATGGCGAATGAAAACAATGAGATCTGTTCGGAATAATAGCCACACTTCATGCTAAAATAATGCCTTTCATTCGCATACAAAATTGCATTATCGAGTCGGAAATTATCAAATCAATTGCTGAGTGTACACCAAACACCAGAGAGCGTACCATTTTGGCCAGAGATGGTTTATTTGGTGGATGCTGTTGAAGTTGTTCTTGTTGGGGTGGCGTGTATGCAGCAGGCATGGAAGACGACTGTGTGGAGACAAGTGGAGTAGCCGGAATTTCCACCGGGATCGCCTGTCCATTAGGGAGTCGCAAAAATAATTGAAGCACAGTAGCGGACGGCGAGGCTGGTGGCAAAGCGGGGCCCGTGATCACAGTCGACGAATTGCCTGCCCCCGCGGAAGCAGCGACCTCAGAACGCTGCAGTGGATGTGGTAAATCCTGATGATGCGCATGCGGTAAGGAATCCGGGGGTAAACCTGATAGTTGTTGCTGAGTTAAACTTGACTCATGCGGGGATAAACTTGAGTGTTGTGATGCCGAACTTGACGGATGAGATGATAGATTAGACAAACGATGGTCAGTTGTTGGCTGCGTCCTGCAGGGATGTGATGAGTTAGAGACGAACGAATCTTCGACGATTCGTTCATCTGAGCAGGGGTAGGCATCGCGCAGGCACTGCGTCAGGGATGGGCTGCACACAACACATTGATTCAAACGACATAGCATTGGTGGGAGTGAACATTCAAGCAGTATGCTGAACAAACATCTTCATACAAGAAGATTAAGAAGACACCAGATAGAAGCATTACGGTATAATTCATAGTATTATAAATGGCATGGTATGCATTCAATACCTATGTATGTACATACATCCATTAATATAAATAGAAAAGGAACGCTTATATACACAGAATTTCATGAGACAATGGGGTTTCTAAATCACGACAGATTCGATATGCTAATTTATATTATTAGCATAGACACAATTTTTTACATCACGTAAGACTTTAGCTTTAACGCTGCAACTGAAGAATTTATCAGCAGTGGCAATAATAATATAAATAATCCCATAATTTTGTGAGAACTCGTACCTTAACTACGGAAATAATCATGAACGTGGGACTGATTTGAATATAATAGAAGCAATTTTTATTAAAATAAGAAAAGCTTTCCGTAGTAACCCTTGTCTGATTGCATAGGTATAACTTTAATTACACTTGGTAGGTACACTTGTATTATATCGTAGTGAAAATATGCAGTCACACTTGAGTTAAATGTGTAGTAGTATATTTCAGTGCATGGTTGGTATTGAAAATATGCAGTCAGACAAGCATGTGTATATATTAGTATTATATATACTAATATGTGTATTAGTATATTTCAGTGCATGGTTGTGTCTTAACGTACCCTGCCGTGATGACAGGAGTTGGAGTCGAGATGACGGAGCTGCTGCTCATGCCGGCCTCGGCAGCTGAGGTGACGTTGATGCTCAGCTTCTGGCGACCTGAGAAGCCCGCGCGGCCACCAGAGCAGCGTCGGTTAGTTCGAGCATTTTGAGGACTAAAGTTGGTCTCACAAGATCCCATCAAACTTGGGGCAAATTCTTGATGAGAAGAGGGAGGATATCTCACTGAAGAATACCCTTCATCAGATTCCGTCATAGAAGCGTCTGAAACAACTTGTAGATCATCATTGCAATACTTGACCTGACCTGAAGAATCGTGACATTTGTGTTGGCCATCAGTGACATCGCAAACGTTTTCCTCGCTCACGAGAATCGGACCGTCACTCAGCACCTCAAGACTCTCGGTTCGTCTTCTTTTGGTCGCGCGTTTGTCAAATTCAACAACATCAGCGCCGTTATCATCAACACAAATCTCATCATCTTCCTCATCTTCATGACAGCTTCGTTTTTTGCCAGAAACTTCCTCCGCCTCATCATCTGTCACGGTGGTTATGTCAGAATTAGACATTCTTGCGCTCAGTTCAGAGATGGACCGAAAAGGCAAAGATTTCTGAGACAGGCCAAATTGTGATGAGCTTACACAATGATGGTTGCTATGCTCTCTATGGTGATGCAAAGTCGAGCAATCGTTGTGACTGCAGCCGCAATCTTTGTCTCTCTCACTGCCATGACCCAAGCTCAAGTTCTCATCATAATCATAATGACGGTCTTGAAGATATCGTTGATGGCATGAATCATCCTTGGACGTTGAGCTGATGGTGTGGTCAGAATCAGCAGGCGCTGGTGGAATTATCCTTGGAGTATCAAGGGAGTCATCATCACATACACCAGGGGAACTTCTGTGCATTCGGATTTTGCTCCCGTGGCCAGCGTTACGACTTGACTGTGAATGAGGGTTAGAGTGGAAACAGCTGCTGTTGGTATCAACGTTGCTTAGCCTTGGAGACAGCGCCATGATGTGAGGAGTCGAGCTCTAGAAAATTAATATTATTATTAATAACACACAATCTTTCAGGATTTTTAGGCAATAGATGAAAAGAATGGAGTGACATAGATTACTGCAGGTACTGTAGTAGAGGTAGGTAGATTTGTAAGAAGGAATAAGAAAACTAACTACAATTTAAAACACATTCAAAAATAGACTTTATGGAGTAACCTGAAGTGGAATTCAAACTATTTAAGATCAAATAGTTGAAAAATTCTGATATGATAAGCATGCAGAGGTATTCAGTGAAGAGGGTATAGCATTTAATATGAGCATGTGGTAGCATGTAAAAATTATAAACCTCTAAGTTAATCTGTGGCTGGCTTCTGGCTTGAGATGCCCTGCGGAACTGCTCATCAAATGGGTTGAGGCCGCTGCAGACTTCCTCAAAAAGGTCTTCGCATCCATACTGGTGGCGGATGTAGCGAGATGGCGTGGGAGTTTCATCTGTGAGACAAAAATGGCTGTGTATTTGATTCCACATAAATTTATACAAAAATAATTGGCATAGTGCCAGTTCTTGGCATTTGCCCGGAATAAAGGTTTTATAGTGTTGCAAATGCATGAAGAAAGTTGTTTCAAGCTGTTTAGCAGCAATACATAATAAGCATCCAAAAAATTTATATTTGCTTGAAATTTCAAAATGTTAGTAAGAAGATATGGGTACCTATAATTCTATGTTAAATGTGGGTTCTTATAGGTCTTTGGGTTTGGGTAGGTTAACATCATTTAATGTTTGAAAATTAACAATGGAACTTTGTTGAACAGGATACTCAAATGTTACAGATAATTCACTTAGAGTTAATAGATGCTTGTCTACAATAAATGACTGGGCTATAAACTGTTCAAAACTTACCCACAGCAAACACCATCTTGTTCTTCTCTTCCATCTGCGGTCGAGTCTCGGCTTCACCTTCAGTGTTAAGAGATGGGGCCATGGCAGGCAAGGGAGGTGATGCGTCTTGGTTGCAGGACACACTCTGAAAATAACACAACAGTTAGAAACTATATGCAAAAATTCAACAAAATATGAAAAATATCCTATCTTTTATGTAATATTTGGGTTTAGTGGAGTCTGCATTCAAATAAAATACATATGATATTCATTTTTACTACTGGAGGGAAGGGAATAACATTAGGATTTAGGAGTGGTAAAAATTACAGAATTTCAGATAACAGGATGCAAAAATTGCATGAATTTTGGGGCCCAGGGCATGCCAGGCTAAGTTTATACATTCAATACCAGTACTGATAAGGTTGACACAGCATTGAGATGGCACAGAGATGCTAGACTTCAATAGAAAGAATCTTTTTTCTAATCAAAAGTGAATCACAATTTCTAGCATGATAAAAACAGCTTTATACACAGAAAGAAGTCATCACTCATCATGACCATGTGATTGTCAAACCTTAAAAAATCTTACTTCTGACCAGTAAATATATTATATGGCATGGCTTTTAGTTAACAAGGCAATTGCAGTTTCTGCAGTGCAGGAACTGCTGAGTGGCAACCTTTGCATCATTAATAGTAGTTGTTAGTTAATAGGCTGCCAAATTGCAGCTATTGAGCTATGAAATTTTGGTTTAAATAAAACTAAAGCATATATTAGATGAATCCACAAACATCTGCATAGGATTCATAGAATTTTAAATTTTCATTATTTTCATCCGGATTCTTGAGTATAATGATTACTAAATTAGGGCCCAATTATAAACAGAAATTTGGATTAAGAGGGAAAAAACCTAGAAGTATAATTCTCTGACAGAATCTACACTACCAGGTAGGCCTAGCAGCTGCTAGCTTGCTAGTCAAGTGCTGTGCTAGTAATTGCTAGTTGCTACCATTCTGCTTTTGATTCTGTCTGTGTCTGCCATCTGGCGACTCTGGCCCGTCGCCCATGGCCCCATCACCCATGCTGGCATGCCCCATCATGAATTCAGATGATCTCATCCCAATTCCAAAATCAAAATGATGTAAAACAGTGTTTCTTCCGATTATTAAAGTAAAACAGTATATTTCTGCCGAATGTGTTTACAAGTACTAATAAAAAAAGTCATAGCCTAATTAGAAATGATTAGCAAGAACATGCATACCGGTGTCACCGTGCGGGTGCGACGTGTCCAATCATTCCAATGAAACTTTATGATTCCAGTCAGGCTCAAGCAGGCAATCGAAATTATAAATCCAATTGAGCAGTTTCACAGTTTCTTGATAAATGGTCATTTAACGATGATATAAATTTCTCGCTAACCACAAATTCTTTTGTAACAAGCCAAACAGCAGCTAAATCAAAATGGTACAGCATACAGGTCCGACCGTCCGAGCATCGCATCCTTGCACTTGCAGAACAGAGGTTGGCACTAAGATAACACGGATAAGCGACGATAACATCGTCAGTATTCGTCACCATTTGAAAATTCCGGTAAACATGTTGAATAATCCTTATCAGTAGTAGTGGAATGGTATTCTAACGCTTCAGCTATAGAACAATTTTACACCGGAAGTCGAGAATATAGTACCCTCAAATTTTGTTGAATTTATGGATGGATGTCATTCATTAACGACGAAACGATGGCGGAAAAAGTGGCAAGTGGCAAGGAAGGTGAAGTCCATTAGCTAGAAAGGAACACATTTAGCATCTGAATAAGGAGTTAGAGAAGAAAGGCAATAAGCAACAAAAAAGAATACAATCGTACAAGAGGTCGCTTAAATTGGACGTCGGCCGCCCGAAAGAGAAAGACAGAGAAGAGAAATGTAATGAATTCTGCCTACATAGCAACATGACTAAACCGCGTAACTGGGACCCGCAGTCAGACACCTCTGATTCTGATGAGGGGCGCTATTTGGAATAATGTCCCTGGGATCGAGAAATCCCTTAAGACTTCAGAGGAGCATAGACACACTTTACAAGGCAGAAAAGAAGAATAGTTCATATGCACATAATCCTATAAGATAAGTCATTACATGGGGCTATTTACACCACAAGACGACTCTTGCTTGCAAGATATCCAACTTTCAATTGAATTCTAGTATTTGTTTTCTTAATTCAGTGTTTGAAAGGCCCAGCAACAGTGTTAATAACTGCTCAGTGTTATCCTAACGTCATATGAGACTTTGCAGTCTTATTCGCACGGTAATTCGTCTTATTACCATGCGTGTATAAAATTTTATTGGCATATTGGACGTAGGATTGATCCGCAAGCTATAATCATAACATTATATCAATGCAAGTTTGCTCAACTGATCATAAAATACTTACAAAACTGCTTTGAATGCCCTAGCCGAGCTTACGTTATATGCCCGAGCAGAGCTTACGTTATATGCCCGAGCAGAGCTTACGTTATATGCCCGAGCAGAGCTTACGTTATATGCCCGAGTTGCCCGAGTAGAGCTTACGTTATATGCCCGAGTAGAGTTTACGTTATATGCCCGAGTAGAGCTTACGTTATATGCCCGAGTAGAGCTTACGTTATAGGCCTTATGTTACTTAGAGCCTCACAGGTAACTTAGTTAGTTAGAGCCTTATTAGTTTTTTCTCCCATACAACTTAGTGTCGCACAGGTAAATTAAAGTAGATAAATAAAGAGAGAATTATTGCGAATAATATTTGCTAAACGTACGAATCAATAGTTAGATGGAGGCAATTAGTTGGCCACCTAATATATCACGAAAATAACGAATAAAGTTTTTAAATTTATTCATCAGATTTTCTTGCATTAAATAGATCAACGATTACTATTCATATACATTCTATATTTTAGCCACGGTTGAATATAAACTCCTGAATGTTTAATTATTCATTGTTAATTTTCAAAACTTATGTTACATTAGAAAAAGTACGAAATTATTTATTTCAAAATTAATTGTAACGAACAACATTGACTAACCTCTACAAACACCTGCATAATTGAAGCCAGAAAATAATTCGCAAATAAACGATATAAGAAGTTGAATAAATGCAATACTTCGATACCTAATACATAACATATATAATATAAAATTTCAAATATGAACGAAATCAATAAAAATTCGTAGCCTAGCATATAAATGAGCGGTAGTTCCAGTTCAGTGATAAATCTTGAATATATTTCCCTGCTAGCGAACAGTTTTAGTAAAGCGATAAATCGTGACGATATTTTCATACAATTGAGCAGTTTCAGTAAAGCGATAAATCGTGACGATATTCCCCTGCAATTGAGCAGTTTCAGTAAAGCGATAAATCGTGACGATATTTCCCTGCTAGCGAACAGTTTCAGTAAAGCGATAAATCGTGACGATATTTCCCTGCAAGTGATCAGTTTCAGTAAAGCGATATTTTTGCAAAAAAAACTGCACAGACTGAACTGAAGTTCGAGTTGAACGTAAGGAGACTCGCTGCTATGGTATTGGATGCCATATATGGAGCCCTACTACACACTTGCTTAGCAGGACTACACCCATACTGCTTAGAGCTTAGCGGGCTAGATGTTCACTCATGGAAATTGCTGGGACTTTGTCTATAGTGCGATGCAATTTTTGTGCTTGTGTGAGTCATCCTGCCTCCTGCAGAAAGTGTGTCAATATTTGGATACAATGAACCATTAATTTTACTTAGTGTAGCGAGTTCAATAAGAGACTCAGCTCAGCAAGCTCTAAGAAATTTACTATTAACCCAGCAACCATTTATGAACTTAGTCCCGTTAATAAATCAGGCAAAGAAATATTAATTTTAGAAAATCAAAAAAATTATGAAATGGACAATTTTACATACTGCAGTCAGAAACTCTATTATAACAAATTATCTAAACTTCAAATCCTTCTGCCTATCACAACTCAAGTTCTATGTAGATCGACCCGATCATTATACTCCTGCTCAATGAGTGACAACATATTAGAATTTAATACATCGGAAGCTTAGCGCTCATTTTTCTTCCAATTACAAGCAATGTTCGCACTAATAAAACACCGGAAAGTCCTTTCATTATTCGTGCATATCCTTTAGCCATATTATTTATTATTCGCGAGTATCCTTTAGCCACATTTTCTCTTGTGGCGCAACATCCTGTCATGAACTGGCCTGTCCTGCGGCGCAGACTACGTCACACTCAGATAAATTGATGGTTCGTGTAGTCCAAATAGTTACACACACTGCATCAATGATGCATCCTTTGGCAGGTCAAAAATGGGTCAGGCTGACCCTCACGAGGCAAACAAGTTCATCATTTTTTTGACAAATTTTCACTCATTTCTCTGGGTGGAAGTCTTCGCTCATAAGTATCTTGTATAAATTCGGCTCACACGTATCACCAACAGTACAATCATACATAATAATAATAATTTAAATTAATTTTAATTAATTCAAAGTGTTTTATATTTTAGTAAAGTATTTAAAGTATTTTAATTAATTAATTAAAATTAATTAATTAAAAATTAATTGAAATTTAATTCATATTAATTAATTAACACTTTTAATAATTAATCAATTTAATTAATTTGTAATAAAATTAATTTTTAATACTTTTCAATAACATTTATCATGTATCCTTTGACGGATACTTAAGGAGCTCGAGCTGTGAGAGAGCAACTGTCCTATAACACTGAACAAAATCAGTTAGTTTTTGTCAAAATAGCGATGCACTTTTGAGCAAGTCATCCTAACACTGATTTTCCATGCAAAACTCGTATCGGTGCTACGCACAAGAAGTATATCACTATTTGGACAATATAACACATCAATTTTCCTGAGTCTACCACCACAATGAGCGCTGAGTCACGCTGTTGTTCAGCTACAATCTCGAGCTGTGCGCAACGACGGCAATTCTTGTTTGCTGTTTATATAAATATTTGCTCTTATAAATAAATCAATATAAGTAACGTATTTGCTTTTATAAATAAGTCAATATAAATATTTGCTCTTATAAATAAGTCAATATAAATATTTGCTCTTATAAATAAGTCAATATAAATAACGTATTTGCTTTTATAAATAAGTCAATATAA